ACTTTCCACCAGACACTAACCTAGTTAAAAATTTTGCTTGGGTACCCCAATCTTTGCCTCTACCTCATGTGTCTCTATCTCTATATCCCCTTATGAACATCTTGAATCAGTCGACTGAAATCAAAAAGTTATTAGAGTCCAACCAACGCGCGTTAAATGAACATCGAATACAGACTCTTATAGCGCAGGAAGACTAGTCGAAGCTTCTCATTTAGTGATCTCAGATACTAATCATCATTGGTATGATTTTCTTTTTAAATCTCCTACTGCTACTATGTATTTTAATTCCTTAGCTACCCCCATACTACTACTTGCTTTGTTCTTTTTATGTCTTTGTATATGCAATTGTTATATGTATACCAAAATACGCACTATATACACTCATGTCACACCTTTGCCCCTCACCTATTATTCTCATGATCTTAAGGCCAAGTGAAATGGAAATTGGAAATTCCCCTTTAAATTAATAAGATCACTCAAATAAATAGGTTCAGTTCAAATCTCGGTCATGACCGTTCCATATCTCCTGAGTGTTCTTGGCCTAGCATTCCAGGAACTAGCCATTCCTAGGTCACGTTGACATGGAGGGTTGGCTCCTCTCCTTGTGAGACGTGATGTTATCAAAAAACAAAATACCAAGCCTCAGGCGGATGGGAGCGTGGCTAAGGTCAGATGTGTATTGGACAAACCATGAATAGCGCAAGCATCAAAAAGGGGTTCTTGGCCCCAAGCCTTCTTTGTTTAGAACAATATAAAAACACTGCGTCCTGTAAGCCCGCTGAGCCTCACCCGCGGGAAGGACGCTTCGCCCGGGAAAATCTTTACACAATTCAAGTTTGTACTGGCTGCAACGGGGCTCCCAGCCGTTGATTGACTTTGGAGGTTCCCTTGAATTGGTGATGTATTCTCTTCCATTACCGACTCTCTTGATCGGTGCTATATTATTGATTGTTCTTATTATTTATGCTTTCTATGCAAATTCAAACTATCTGTGCTTTGCTTCTTCTAAATAAATTATCTATTTCCTATTATTTTCTGGTGCATTGGAGAGTGTCATTTATAGGAGCGAATCCGAACCTCACTAAATCATACTAATACACAGACATCTATTATATGTCATGTAGCATGAAATGATGGATAGAGAGCTGGCCTTAGAGTAACGACTATTATGCCTATTTTTTTTTTGGTAAGGCAATTGGGGTTAAGTGACTTGCCCAGGGTCACACAGCTAGTAAGTGTCAAGTGTCTGAGGTCACATCTGAGCCAGTGCTCTATCTACTGTGCCACCTACCTGCCCCATGCCTTTATTTTTACAAAGGAAAAATGTCTTATTCCATTAAGAGCATCAATTATTATCATCACTCCTTTCATTAACATGCATCTTATTTGTTGAATTGAATGGAATTATTGAATTGAATTTAGTGAATTAATATTCACCTTTAACTGAACTAAGTTCCTGAGCCTTATTGGACTCAGGTCCTCCAAGTCAGAACCAAGTCTTTTATTCTGTGTGTGTGTCATGGGGAGAGAGGGTGCTAGGGCAAGGAGTCCCCTTAGGGAGAGAGAACGGGTATAGCACCCTAGTCTCTTGGGACTAACATTGGTTTTTTATTGTCAGATAAATGAATAATGAATAAGAGGTGATTTTGGTAGAGAAGGCACTAGGGGAAGAGTATTGGGAAGGGGGTTCAGAGAGCAAATCAGAAAAAGCTTCATGTAGAGGGGTGGTGCTTGAATTGAGACAAGGGATTCTCAGAGATGAAGGTGAGGAGGGATTGCATTCCAGGCATGGGCATGGGGAGGGGACCTGGAGTTTCCGTATGAAGAACAGCAAAAAATAAGAGTTTGGCTGGATTGTAGAGTGTGGAAAAAGGGTAATATATAACCAGTCGGTAGATTGGGGATCATATTGTAAAGGACTTTATTATTTGTAATAGTATCTTATTTTTTCCCAATTACACGTAAAATCAATTTTAAACATTCATTTTTTAAGAATTTTGAGTTCCAATTTTTTTCCATACCTCCTTTCCCCTCTCCTCTTTCTAAAACAGTAAGCAATTTGATATAGGTTATATATGTGCAATCATGTAAAACATATTTCCACATTAATCATATTATGAAAGCCTTTTTAAAAATAATTTTTTATCGTAAACTTGGCAGTCATCAGCAAACATAAGCATTTCTGTTTTCAAAGAAATGTAGAAAAAGAGGACTGTGTACATAACTGGATTTAGCAGTCTTTAAAAGTATATTGCATCTTTAACATGGCTGTAACAACACTGTTCTTCTTCTTGGTGTCTTCTTCAGAAATTCCTTGTGAGAGGACTTTAAATGCCTGACAAAGGAATTTAAATTCCTCCTAGAGGCACTAAGGAGCTCCTGGAGTTTGTTGAATGGTCTGGAGCCACATTTAGACCTGACCAAGTGGAGGCCACGCCATGATTCCTTATTTCCCTGCTGGTACCAAGTGCTTCCTTCTGTGCTGTGTTTCTTTTGTCTACTTTTGGGGAGCTGCAGGAGGTGGGCTTTGCCTCTAAGGGCCAACAGGGAAGCTAAAACAATGCTTGCATGTGGCCTGCTCTGTCAGATAACTTTCCACAGCTCTAGTTTTGAGAATGACAGGACTGAACCATGCAGGTGATAGAAACCCAATCAACGAACCCAACATATAATGATTGACTCTCACCATCTTTGGAAATGGAGGATGAGAGCATTGGGGAAGACCAAAGCTGTTCACTTGCCCTCTGTGTTTCTGACTTATTCTCTACCAACAAGTTCTTTTTTTTTTTTATTCCCACAAAGAGCTGTCATTTGAACTCGTGTGATGAGAGGCAGGTATATCAGGAAGACAGAACAGGGATAGTGGAATAGGTCGTCATTTGGAAATATTTCTCAGAGCAGCAAAATTTCTTGGATAATTGAGTTTTGACTGTGAAATGGGTGATGCACATTTGATATTTGGATATTAGCATCTGCCAAGAAGTCTGTTACAGGTATTTCCTGCAAGTGCCCCTTATGCCTGCTGATCCCATCTCTGGAGGTGAGAACAATGGTGAATCCCTCATTTACCCTTTGCCTCCAGACCAAATCCTAGTATTGTAAAATCATGTATTTAAAGATGGAAGGAACCCCAGAAGCCATTTAATCCAACCCTCTCATTTTAATGTTAACAACAACAATAATAATGATATTTGTTTAATATAAATATCTATGTAATTATGTTATATTTTTATATGTATATTAATATTATATTTATTTACATTTATATTATTTATATTTATATATTATATTTATATATTTCTGTAATGCTTTAAGGTTTGCAAACCCTATAAACTTGGGGTGTAGTTGCGATGATTATCCCCATTTTACAGATGAGGAAACTGAGGCAGACAGAGGTTAAGTGACTTGCCCAGGGTCACACAGTTGCTATGTATCTGACAGTGAATGTAAACTCAGATCTTCCTTAGTACAAGCCTGGAATGAGGAAACTGAGGCCCAAGCTAGCTTAACGATTTATATAAGTAAAGAGGTAAACATCTTTTTGAACCTAGATCCCTTGAGTCCAGAGCCAATGCTCTTTCCGTTGCCTTTGTGCTTAATAAACTCTCATTTGGACTCTTGTAGTCGCCACTGATCTGTCTTAACTCGCAATAATTTCTTTGCCACCAGTTTGTGATGTCTTTGATCCATCTTACACCCTCTTGCCAGATGAATGTTCTTAATTCATAGTTCTGATCACGTAACTCCGCTGCACCAAAAACAGTTTCCTACTGGGTTTGAATCCTGGTTCTACTTCTTCTTACCTATGTGACTTCAGGCAAGTCAGTTAACTTAGCTGGACCTCGGTTTTTTAATCTGTCATGTGAAGAGGTTGGACTAGATGATTTCTTAACGAGTCCCAAATCTCTAAACTGGTGGGCAGCACATAAGGTGAGCCCAAATTCCTTAGTCTGACATTCAAGGTGTTCTGTACTCTGAACTTTCCTCTCTTTTATCTCCCATTGCTCTCTTACCTCCATATATCTTCTGCTCCAGCCATATAGGACTTCTTTTTTTTTTTGGACATTTGAATTATTTTTTAATTTTTAAAAAATATATTTATTTAATATTTTATTTTTCCCCAATTACATGTAAAACAATTTTTAACATTCATTTTTTAAAATTTTGGAGTATCAAATTCTCTACTTCCCTCCCTTCTTTCATTCCTCATTGAGAAGGCAAGCAATTTGATATAGGTTATACATGTGCAGTCATGCAAAACATATTTCCATATTAGTCATGTTGTGAAAGAAAACACAGACCAAAAAAAAAAAACCTCAAAAAGAAAAATAAAGTTTAAAAAAAGTATGCTTCAATCTGTGTTCAGACTTCATCAGTTCTTTCTCTGGAGATGGATAGCATTTTTCCATCTGGTATTTTTTACCATTTCCTCCAAATCCCTTGAATTTTTCTTTTGCCTTTCCTTTGCTCACATCTGCTATTGCAATAACACAGTCAAGATATGATGAGGGTCTGGACCAAGATGGTGGCCATGCGAATGGAGAGAAGGAGATGGATGGGAGAGATATTCTGAAGGTACTGACAATGAAATGGGACATGTAGGATGAGGAACTGTGAGGAGCCAGAGATGGCCCTGAAGTTGTGAACCTGAATGACTACAAGGATGCCTATGATAGAAATGGGGAAGTTTGAAAGAGGGGTAGATTTTTGGGAAAGATAATGAGTTCTCTTTTGTTCATATTCAATCTGAGATGTTAATAGGCAACGAGTTTAAAACATCCAACATGCAACTGGAGACGCAGAGCTTGTGAGAGACTGGGGCTGGGTATAAAGATCTGTATAGAGATGATGATTAAACGCATGGGAGCTAATGTGGTCACCAAGGGAAAGAAAAAATAGTCCACTGGTCAAAAAAATGTGATTTGAGCCATCATTAGTAACTGAAATAGTTATTAAAAACTGTACATGAAATCAGACTGAGTCTCTTGTTTGATTTACAGTTCAGTCTGGTGCACTGCAGTTCACAATTATCTACACTGGGAACCATGCCAATCTCATGCTTTCCGCTGCCTTTCATCAACACTTCCATGATGAACACAGGGAAGCCGGATCCAAGCAAGGTCGCCTTGTCTACCACTATCGATTATGTTACAAAGAGGAATGGGGCTCGGAACATGAGAACGGTCCAAATCCATAGCTTGCCTATTTGTTTTCCTCAGAATTTCCCTTCAGCACTGAGGTAAGACCTGTCACTTGCAGCTGGGTCATTCCTGCTTTAAAAAGGATGGTCAATGTCGGTATGTCACAGTCAATAAAACCCTGCTCGCTAAGCTCGAGGCTAAATTATGCTGCTGTTGGGGAGATACCTACCTATTGTACTTTGGAATTTTAATAGAAAGAAACTCTTAAATCTACTTGTCTTCACCCTTTTTAAAACATGGCTCTGAGGACTCAGCAAAATGTCTAGGGGAGTTTAACAAAACAAACAACAAAAGAGGAAATTGGCAAGTTCATTTACTTGAATGTTAATTTGAGTTTTTACAAGGAGTAGCATAATTTCTTTTCCTACAATTTTGGCAATTCATCTGAGTTTTTCCACTTCAAGTGGGCATCGCTTGTGGTGTCTCAGAGGCCTGCTGCAAAGATACTGAGCTAGCTTTGAGGTTGAGTACCTAACATGGGATCATAAAGATTTCATTTTTCTTAATAAAGCCCTGCCTCAAGCAGCTGGGACAGGGCTCATTTCCTGCAGTCTTGGTGTATAGCAGATGGCGAAAGTTTAATGTCTACCCACCTTAAATTCAAAATCTCTTTTTTTCCTAGGCCAAGTATAGGATTTTGTTGCATAATGATCATGGCCTTCCTTCACCCAAGTGAAAAGGGCAGTGCTTTAGGTTGGAAGGGTCCTCAGTGATTGGTCTACCCTTAATTTGACTAAGTGATGAGGTGCAGGGTCACCAAATTGATGAGGCGCAAGGTGTGTGTGTATTGTGGTGTTATCTCAAAAGAATTTACTCAGGCCATCTCCAAATCAAGTAAAGACATTTATTCTGGGTAACACACCAAGCCACCACCTTCGAGAGGTAGCAGCCCCTTAAGGGAGGTAGCCCACTAAGGGAGGCAGCTCCTTAAGGGAGATGGCCAGCTAGCTAGGAGAAGCTAGGGATTCTTACAGAGGAAAACCTGCTATGGCCAAGGAGATGAGGTAATTAAGGACAGAAAAGTGAAGTAACCAAGGACTAGCAGGTGGTAGTGGTAGCTCAGAGTTTTGGGCACATCATTCCGTTGTTTAGCCCATTTGCCTGGGGCAAAGGGGCCCCTGGTAGTTTCAGTATTTCATTGACCCGCCTATTTGAATCTCATCATCTCATTGCCCAGTCCATTTACCTAGGATAGAGGGGCCCCTGTTTTTCTCATCAAGAGGATCCCTATCCCAAGAGCCTCTCCTAGAAGACCTTTAGTCAAAAAGAGCTAACTATATCTCAAGAAAGCCTGCTTCATTTCTGGACAACTCTGTTAGGAAGTTTTCTCTTATATTAAATTAAAATCAGCCTCCCTTGACTTTTGCTCCTATTTCTTTCTTTAGGGGCCAAGCAGAACAAGTCTAAACCTTTTTCCATACCATTGGAGTCCTTCAAATGCTTGAAGAAAATGATTGTTTCCCTAAGCCTTCTCTCTCCCAGGAAAAATATTCCCAAGTTCTTTTGTCCTTTTGTTGCATTATATTACACTATCCTCTTTATCCTCTTCTGGACATGCTTTTGCTTATTTATGTCCTTTCTAAAATGCGGTGCCGAGAAATAAACACACTATTCTATATTTGGTCAGACCAGGGCAGAGTACAGTAGGATTTTCACATCTCTCTAGGGTACACTGCCTCTTTTAATGTAGCACAAAGTCACAATATTTTTTTTGGCTGCTATATGTCACACACTGTTGACTCATATTATCATCAATAGTCAAAAAATATTTATTAAGCACCTACTATGTTCGTGGTAGGGCAGCTAGGTGATGCAGTAGATAAGAGTGCTGGGCCTGGAGTCAGGAAGACTGTCTTTCTGAGTTCAAATCTGGACTCAGACACTTACTAGCTGTGTGACCCTGGACAAGTCTGTTTGCCTCGGTTTTCTCATATGTAAAATGAGCTGGAGCAGAAAATGGCAAATCACTCCAATATTGATCTTTGCTAAGAAAACCCCAAATGGAGGTTGCAAAGAATCAGACATAACTAAAAAATGACTGAATAACAAAAGGCTCTTGGCACTGTGTTAAGTGCTAGGGAAGGAAGGAAGGAAGAAAGAAAGAAAGAAAGAAAGAAAGAGAAAGAAAGAAAGAAAGAAAGAAAGAAAGAAAGAAAGAAAAAGAAAGAAAGAAAAAAGAAAAGAAAAGAAAAGAAGAAAGAGAGAGAAAGAAAGGGAGAGAAAGAGAAAGAAAGGGAGAGAAAGAAAGAAAGGAAGGAAGGAAGGAAGGAAGAAAGAAAGAAGGAAGATAATCCTTGCCCTCAAGAAGCTTACAATCTAATAATGGAGGAAGACAAAACATAAAAAGCTGAAGGGGAGGGTTGGGGGGAGGGGGAGGAGAAGATGCCTGATGGGAGGTAAGAGATATGGAGATGTCTGAGCTGTAAATGTAGGTTTAGTGTTCATGACCCCACCCTCCAATCAGAGAGGGAAAGAGTAGTGATGAAGTGGGTTACCAAGGCTGATGGGATCTTACAAGAAGGTAGCTATCCCAATAACATGGGACGTGGTGGAGAAGTCAGTTAGAGAAATCCCAAAGTAGGGCAACCAGGTGAGAGATGAGGATAAAGGTGAGAAAATACATTGAAGTTAGTTTTGGTCAGGTTACACTGTATAAAGCATGGGGTTTGAAATAAAATGAGGATGCCATTACAGAAACAGGCTAAAAATACATTGTGAACTATATATAGAAGATGAAATAAAATTACATGAACATAATTGGCATTGTGTGGGGTCTGATTTGAATCTCTACACCAAAGTTCCTTCTACATATATCAGATTGTGAGAAGAGAGCTGTGGAGTGTAGTGGAGAGAACACCAGCTTTACAGACAGAAGACCTGGGTTCAGATCTTGACTATGCTATTCACTATTTGTTTGTCTCCCTCTAAAATGAAGGGTAAGATTGGAGGCTTTCTATATTCCCTTTCATCTCTAAATCAGTGGTCCTTTAGAATGTGAGCTGAGTTCAAATGCAGCCTCAGACACTTAATAGCTGTGTGACCCCAGGCAAATCACTTAACCCTGTTTGCCTCAGTTTCCTCATCTGTAAAATGAACTGGAAAAGTAATGGCAAACCACTCCAGTATCTTTTCTAAGAAGACCCCAAATGAGGTCAGGAATAGTCAGACATGACTGAAAAAAAAAAGATTAGGCAACAACAATAGAATGTGAATACTCCTTAAGTAAAAACCTATTAAGATTGAGCAACTAGGCACATATTTAAGCATTGTAATCATTTTGGCCCTGGAGAGCAAGACAGGTTGAGTCGTCAATTTGCTGGGGAGGAACTCCCTTCCTCTGCCTTTCATGGAGCCATGTCTTTCTTTCAGTTCACCCCTCCACTGGGGACATGACTTTCCTTTTCCCAGCAACTAATTCCTCCTCCCTTTATAGGGCCATGGCTTTCTTTTAAAACCCCAGCTTGCTAAAAATAAAATAAATTTTAAAAAAATCGGGCAACCAGGGGTGGGAAAAGGAAAGCAAACATTTCCTGTATTTTACACACTTACAGATTGGGTCTTATCTGTTTGGTTTGCATCTCAGCAGGGATCTGGCCCCCAAGCAGTATTCTCTTTCTCCATCAAGCTCTCTAAAATCTCTGTTAAATATGTGGTTTGAACCCCCAAGCCAGTTTTCACTGGCAAGAAGCCAAATTGGGTTTATAAAATCTCAGTGATTTGAATCTACTCCCTGACCACATTGATTCAGCCTCTTTGCCCAGTCTTTCTACTTAGATTCATGAAAGTGGACTTGGCACAGATTCAAATAGCTGTTCTGTCTTTTAATAAATTGTCACATACATACTGAGAAAGAAACCTAAAACAATATCTTGACTGGGATATCTGTTCCAAATATGGCCCTGCCTGTCTGTAGCTACGAAAGCAAAGGGGTAGAAGAGAGTAATTGACTTCACTTCTCTTCATTAAGGAAGAGGAAAAGCAAGTTCGTAACTGAGGTGGATGAAAGGAAGGGGATTTCAGGTTCCAGAACAGCAGGGGAAGAGGATTTTCAAATCTCCAAACAAACTTCATTCCTGCACCTCTGAAGAGCATTGGCAGGCTTGAAATGTTTGTCCTCAGTTTCTAGGGCTCCTGTTCCAGCTCCGTTGCCACTGGGGAGAGGTGAGCTGGTCAACCCATAGCTACGCAAGAGTTCAGCATAAAGACTGCTGGAATGCTACCCTGGCTCCACTTTCCTCCATTCTCTTCCAGGTCAATTCCTTTGCACCTGGGGGTGGAATTTCAACGTATTTCCCTCCTCCTCTAGCCCACTGGCCGTACTTTCACATTTGGTTCTGCCCCAGCTATGTGTTTCCATTCTTCTCCATGGTTCCAGCTGCAATCTCTCCATTTGTCCCCAACCCCTCTTAGGCTGAGAGGGCTGGTCTATGAGTCCTATTGGCCGCCTCATGCCATTCCTTTGGTATGATGAGTAGACAGACGCTGGGAATTTCTGCCTGGCTGATGGCATGATTTGGAGGACCATCCTATTACTAATATATGATTCCACCCCCCTCACTCCTCTTGTCTTCTCATCTTATCCTACTTGAATTAATTGTGTGAGTGCAAAACCTTTTTAATTGTGTGTAATTGAAAGGATCTATTTTAAAAGGCAGCTTTCTTTTGATTTATCAACAATCACTTCCATGTGCTTTTGAGTTTAAAATTTTTCTTCCCCTTCCTCCCCACCACCCTCCCCAAGCCGGTGCACAATCTGATACAGGCTATACATATACATTCCTATTAAACATATTTTCACATTAGTGATGTTGTAAGTAAAAATTAGAACCCAATAGGAGGAACCACCAGAAAGAGGAAACAAAACTCAACAGAAGAGAAAAAAAATAGCAAATAGTATACTTCGATCTGCATTCGAATTCCATAGTTCTTTCTTTGGGTGTGGATAGCATTTTCCATCATGAGGCAAAAGGCAGTTTTCTTTAAGCTAGAAGTAATCACTCATATGAAAATTGTTGCTCATAGTGATGAGCTGAGGCATGACTGGTGATTTTAGAAACACCAGATGAAAGGTACTTGTGCTTTATAGATGTGGTATTAAACAAACTTTGTCTTTGAAAAAAAAAGTAACCCTGTGTATTTTAGCAAATATTCCTCTAATATAGAAATTCATTTCAGTTAAAAAAAACTCATTAAGTGGTTATTATATGGAAGACAATAAATATTCAAAGAACAAAAACAAAAGAGTTCTTGCCCCAGGGAGCTTCTATTTTGGAGGTCAGTTGGGGTGAGGGATTGGACATTACATATGCACAGGTGAATAAATGCAAAGTAAAATAAATTTAAAGGTGGAAAGAGGGCTACAATATAGGCCTTATAGAGTAGGTATCAACTGAGCTGATTCTTGAAATCACTATATTTTCTTTTCCTTTCCTTTTCCTTTTTCTTCCTTTCTTCTCTTCCTTTTTTTCTTTCTTTTTCCTTCCTTCTTGCCTTCCTTCCTTCTTTCCTTTCCTCTCTTTTTCTCTTTTTTTCTTTTCCCTCCTTCCTTGCTTCCCTCGTTCTTTCTCTTCTTCTTCCTCCTTCATTTTGCCAATGTAGAAGATCAGCAAACTCTCATTGGGCAAGATCCAGTCAAACTTCTATGACAAATTTTTATATTTGAAAAGACACTTCAAAAGACCAATGATTTAATCATTGTGGATGATCCTTCCATGGACACAGTTACAACCTTGACACACCTTATTAGACAATTTTCATGACATTTTTTTTGTGTCTGAAAAAATTCCATTGTTTACTGGCTAAGATTTCAGTGAGAATGTCCACATTTATCAAGTCAGACTCTTGGAAAACAGAGTCAAAAATCAGTTACCAGGTTCATACTCCAAAAACCTCTCCAGTTCTAGTATGACCTATTGAAGTTGTACTCTCCTGACATAATTTTATTTCTATTTATTTAGTTTGTGGCTAGGCAATGGGGTTAAGTGACTTGCCCAGGGTCACACAGCTAGTAAGTGTTATGTGTCTGAGGCTGGATTTGAACTCAGGTCCTCCTGAATCCAGGACCTGTGTTCTATCCACTGCGCTGCCTACCTGTCTCATGCTGACATAACTTTAAAAAATCCAGTCACCTTCTGATAAGGCATCAGAGGTGAACCTTAGTGGAAGGTATATATACTTTCTCTGTTAATCAAAATATTAGGTTAAGGGGCTGATTGGTAAAATTCTCTAATCTTGGCTAGATCCACTGTTAATGAGTCTTTGGAACTTTGGGTCTCTAAGGAGGAAGTGGGGACATGTCCACTGATATCAAGGAGAGAATTTAAAACACTGAATCCTCATTCAGTCCCTCTGGAATCGTGTTTAGTCATTGCCTTGATCAGAGTTTGCAAATCTTTCGAAGTTATTTATCTTTATAATATTGCTGCTACTTTGTAAATTTTTCTGATTCTGTTCACTCTGCATCAGTTGATAGAAACCTTAGTGTTCTCTCATATGCTTCCTTCATGAGAGTGATGATTTGATTGATTTTGCTGTTGGGATAGAAGCTCCTCCTTGTGTAAAGTCAATAAAACACCATATTCGTTACAGTCAGGACTTTTCTGTATTTCTGACTGCCCCTTTAAAAAAATCCTGAAATAGCAATAGAGTTAAGAAGAGTGGCCCTTGGCCTGGGGGTAAGAAGCTGCCAGTAGTTACATTTGGGCAGAAACACATGAAAGCTATAGGTATGTTTTCCTATGTAGCATGAGAGGTGAGTTCTTGGATCCCAGGTTTTGCTTTACTTTCCTAGTCTTGGAGAGGCAGTAATATGATATCTCAGCCCAAGAGATGGCAACTCTAGAAAGGCAGATCATATGGTGAAGTAGTACCAGCCTTGGGGTTGTCTTGTTAGCAACCCCAACTTATACAGCTCCAGAATCCAGCCTTCTAGAGAGAGAGAGAAGGGTAATTCCTAGGCAATGCCACTTTCGGGTGGCCTTTCTAGCAACCTCAAGTTTGAGAGGTTTAGGATACAACCTTTTAAAGAAAGAAGAGGAGTTACTAGGTAAAAACAAAGTTTTGGAAAGAAAAGATCTAAGAATCCAGTCCTCTGTGGGAAAAAAAAACCCCAAACTTCCTGGGAAATATTATCCTGCTGGGAAAAAGAAGATTATAAGTGGTCCCCAGAATTAGAAAAACAGCATGAGCAACTAGAGCCATGACTCAGGAGAAAAAAAGACCTAGACTCTTCCCTGACTTATAGAATAATAGAGCTGTTGGGATATTGCATTTCTGATGGGCAGTAGATTTTCTGTACAAAAACCTCAAATTCATTTGTTTCCATTCTGGGAAGATTGTAAACCTCAGAATAGTACCATAAGACTGGATGTCGCATGGGGTACTTGTGGGGAAAATGAGACACATTGCAGTGTTGAGTGATTGCTCATCCTGCAACCCCAAGAACAATTTCCTTTCAGGGTAAGTTCAATCCACATGTGCCACTGCAAGTCTGGAAAACAACATAGTACTTGGTGAAAGTAGGACTCACAGGAGAGGGAGGATAATTATATAAGTATGCTTTGTGTATTTTCTGCCTTGTCTACGAACTCTTGTGAGTCTTTTGTGTTTTCTGCATTTTCTGTGGGGTGGAATAAAAGCTGTCCTGTACTCAATATGCACTGTTACCTTAAGTGCTTGTAGAGGGATTGGAAAATCTTTTACTTTTATCTATGGGGAAATGGCCATGAGCTATATTTGAACTAGAGGGAATTCTGAGTTGGGGCAAAACAAACCAACGAGAAATGATTATTTTGGGGGGACAGTATTCTTGAATGAACCCATTCTATATACATGTAATTAATTAGAATGACTCATTCCTCAGTCAGGTAAAATAACAGTTAAGTGTGTGTGTGTGTGTGTTCCTACAAGCCTGTTCTAGATTATAATTTGGTGCTTAGAAGTCACAATTTGTTTTTCCTTGCAGATTTACACAGAATGATATTAATGAAAAAAGGCACACCCTTGCTTCAGCTTCAAAAAACCAAGAGGAGATGAATAACAAAATGAAAGAACACATTTTGCCCAAACTTCAACCCCGACTTTCAATGACAATGCCTATAAAGAATGAGCAGGTAACTGAATAGTCAGAGGAACTACCCTTTTGCACAAACCTCTCTCAAATAATGACTTATACCACATGTATCATGATACCACAAGGGAGTATATTTAGTACTTAAATCACATAAAGACTTTAATATTTAAATACCATTAAGGCTATTGGCTAGAGTGATAGAGAAATCAAGTGGGTCCTGATATAAGAAGATCCAATTTACAAAATTTTTGATTTACATAACAGAAAAATTACAAGTTACCTACACCAAATATTTCTTTAACAAAATCAAATTAAAACAATGGTCATAAAAATTGGTAGCCTCAGAATTTGGTGGGGTTCAGATAGAAATGGTTTGGGGATAAATTATTATCATTCTATCTTTCTTTTCTGTTTAATGTTCTATGGGTTATTGCACTGATGGATAAAATGAATGCTTTTTTGGAATTTCAAAGAAAGATTAGGTTATAAGGTCATCCTTTGTAGGCTTACTTGAAAGCATCCTTAGTATAACTCAAACAGTAGGCCAGATACCTATGACACTTCATCCTGTTTCTGCAAGATTTTGATCTTCTTTGCTCGGTGTCTGTATTTTGAAAGATTTTTATTCCGTGTAGCTTGGAGATTGTGAATATTTAGTATGATGACATCTATTAAAACGTTAAGTTTTTATGAGTCCTCTTGGGTCCCAGACCCTTGATAGTCTAGATGCTATTTCATCCACAGTTCTAGATGAGGTATCTATATCTAGGCCCTACCCCCCACTGCAATACCTAGCTTTCGCCTCCATTTTCTAATGGCTGATTGTGCGTGTTAATCATGGCCCCATTTTTTGTCTTCTTGAAAAATTCCACATCAGAGTTGCCTTGCAGAGTCCCTCTTCCAACACCCCCCATGCCCTCCATGGTTCTGGACCTATCTTCTATTTGTGGTTCTGTCAGCAGAATTGGCCTAGAGTGCCCTGGGGTATGCACACTCTATCCAGCCCTACATCCTAGTGCAGTGGCCTTATCAATAGCTGGTCACTACGGCTTTGACAGTGTAGGGCAGAGATTCCACTGCCTTCAGGCTCCATTTATCAGAGCTCATGCTGGTTTCTGTGTCCCCTGACCCATTCTCTTTTGGGGAGTCCTCAAGATTCTGGCAATTTTCTTATGGAGACCTAGGCTGGATGGAGGAGCTTACTGGTATCCCTCCTTGGTCTTCTTGACCTTCTTGTTTTATTTGGTACTGTTTTAGATCATCACTGAGGTGTTGGTTGGAGAGCTAGGAGGGTTCTTCTGGGACCTTTCCCATTACCATCTTACTTGGGAATGTCCCTTTCCTTCATATTTGAAGGTCTTTATTCTGTGTCATGATAAAAATTAAGGTAAACTGAGGCATGAGGTAAACATTCTGAGCATGTTTCCTTTATTAGTAAGGTTAGGATTTGCCAATAAAAATGGTCAAAGAATCTTCAGAAGCCAAAGACAAGACTCAAGTTAGGGATGACAGGATCTTTTATAGCGATTAACAAGATGACAGAGCAAAATCTCAAGCAACATAAGTGTGTCTTCTTCTGATAGGCTAGTTTTTTCAATAAGGAGGTGAGACAAGTGTCATCTTAGCTCCGCCTTGTTACGTCTTTGGGAGATGGAATCAGTTCTCAGGTCATAGGCAATGGGAATTGAATTGTAAATAACTTTCTCCAGATTGTGGGCAGTGGGTGAAGTTATTAAGGTAGAGGTACAAGTCACAAGAATAGAATCATAGAATTGTGACCTAAGTGACCTAAGGTTACCTGAGTATACTTGCAGGAGTAAGGTATTTAGATTCACGCAGGGAGAAAGACTATTAAATCTATGCTGACTTGATTAAGTCTTAGCAAATAGATTTAAAAATCAGTTTTCCATTTCACAATTACCCCCTCTGATCCTGTGAATCACTTAGCCTGATTAAAGTTACAAATCAAACTATAGTAAAAATCATGTATGTCTATCACACCACAATATTTAGTAAAGCTGAGGTAACAATTACAGAAGCAAAAATGCTGTGAATAAGAAAATTTGAATCATTATAAACACCATGAGTTTCTTAGGAAATTTATCAAAGCCAAAAGGAAATTATGAGGCAAAGGGCTAGGAAAGCCCTATGACATGGCACTGGTCCCTTGATGGAGTAATGTAGTTTGGGCTAGTATCTCTGTTTTTTCTAATGCCATAATCCCAATATATGGGAATAAGAACTAAAGAAATTTTATCCCAGGTATTCTACTTTAATGAGACTAATCTAAGAGAGGGTGCCCCCCAAACCATCAAGTTTAATCTTATAACGATCCACCCACTGATCTTGAGATCACCTGCGACCAATGTATTGAAAAAAACTCCATTGGGGGACATCCCTTTTGCTAAGTAGGCCTTACAGAGACAGCAGTGCATGAGGAAGAAATGAGAAGGAAGGCTGAACATTCAGTCTCATTCCCAATGTCCACTTCATCAATATATCATGTTTAGGGCTCAGATGTCTCATGAAGTTGTCTGGTTTCTGAAAACATCTCCTTTGGGGCATTTGTGAATAGGCCTGTTCTCAGAGCAGCTCTGAAGAGTAGGGCTTCTCCTAGAAGATCTGCTTCTCTAGTTCAGTTTACTTGTAGAGATTCTTAGATATTCCTACTATGATGTTTTGCAAAACAGACCTCAATATCAATTAGTACACCCTCCTACATTTGGTATTCTAATAACTAGTTCAAGTATCAGCAACCCATAATTCATCCAAAACTTCAAAGAATTTGAGTTTTTACATCTCACCTGTTGTTACCTAAACCTTGTACCTCATATGGACACTACTATCAAGAGGCTAAAGAGAGAATCTTAAAAGAGATCCATGAGGAGTTCCACTTCTGGGAGCCAAGATGGCGGAATAAGAAATCTTTTCCCGAAAAGATGGAAAGCAAGGGTTCAGCAGGCTCAGTGACTCACTGAATGATTTCACAGAGGTTCTGGAAAATCCTGTCCAGATTCTGACCATTGGGACCATCCACTTGTCCTCTCTCCTTTAGTTGCTGTACCTTCTGGAGGGCAACATTTACAGCATATCACATGAACTCATTGCTGGACCACAGGACAGGTAAACTTTCTTTGTGGCTTTGGGAACTATCTCTAAGGTGGAAAAAAAGAAGCATCTTGTTGACATTTTAAAAATTTCTCTAGCACTGAGAGCACCTAGATTCCTAACTTTAAAAATCACTGGAAAAAGAGAAAAGAAGAAAAATAATTGGGCTGATGATTGGGGAATTGCCAGACTGTGATACACAAATGTAATGATTATTGCTAAGGAATAGATATTTCTTGAATGAGCACTTCTAAGAAATAGAGGAACACTTCTATGAAGCGATGCAGTAAAAAAAAAAAAAGAACTGAAAGAATGTATACAAGGACAGTTATACAAATGACAATTTTTAATGTGAACAAACCTCAGGTTGAATACAATCGACAGTAGTACTATTATTAAAATGAAGCATGCAGTTTTTTAACAAAAGGCAATCTATTTGTTAAAAAGATGTGAATAAAGTTATTAATTAGGAAAAATGGGAAAAAAAGAGAGATCCATGAAGATCTGACCTGTGAGATGAGCCTTTCTGGATAAAGATTAATATTTGCCAAAGTAAACATGTAAGCTAGGGTACATAAAAGGTTTTCCTTTTGTGTTTTACTACTTATAACTGTGCTGTGATATGTTAGCAAATAGTTATGCTGTTAAGAAATCAAAAACTAAACATTTTAAAATATCACAGAAGGCACAGATATCAAAATATCACAGAAGCTCTGAAACTCTTTAAATTAAGCTTTAAAAATAAATCTTCCACTCCATTCAGTTTTGAAACATTTTACATTACATCTTTATCTAAATGTAATTCCCCCTCTTAGGAGGATATTATCACTGTATCAGCTTGAAAGAATGAACTATGTAAAAAAAAACCCCTATTCTCATATATGAATACACAATTCTTAAGAAGGTGACAAGCTCAAAAAACTCTTTTATTTAATTAGTTAGGAATTGCTATTACCTACTGGCATCTTAGTGTTTTTAATATGTGCCCACAGTAAATCAGATGTAATTAGTGTTCACCTGCTCTGACATAGAAATTTTCTATGAAAGGAAAAAGGAGGGACATAGTATAGCAGAAGGGAAATACTCCCCTAGTTCTATTTGAATCTAGGCAAGAGTCACTTTTGAGAGCCAATCATACAGCGAAGTTTCACAGTATTCGTAAAATAGCAAGACCAAGCTCAGAAATAACTAGGTGGGAAAATTTCATGTCCAGAGAGGAAATATCACAATGCGAAGCTAAGTTAAGAGGATCCCACCTTTGCCTTTTCAAGGTCATCCCTTCAACTGTCCTAGGCACAGACCTGTGGCAACCCTCAGAACATATTCCCTTTGAGCAGCATTAACATTTCCTTTGCAAAGGTAAACTGTTGTCTTCATTGCAATATAGACAATAATACATGAAATCAAAATTTAAAACAATACTTGAATTAAAGTTCCATGAGATTTAACCTTAAATAGCAAAATTTCAATAATCACAACACAGGGCTAGGATGATTACATTTGTTTTCTAATCATAAACCATTTTTAAGTTACTAAGCAAACTTATGAGTTCTGCACTAGCTTCTTAGAAAACCTATATAACATCTTAGGACTAGGGTATGATTGGTAACTGTCTATTATTATTTATCTCATATTAACATCAATTTAAATCACACTGTGAAGTTTCTTACACACAAAATTCTAGAAGGCTGCTCACTACTTTCTATATGTTCCTTCACTAGAATTTTTCCCTTTTTTGCTAATGAGATCAGTAGGTTTAAATGTCAAATGTTCTAAATTGCTACTTCTTCCACAAATTGGCAAGGCTTACCCTGTAGTTTTTAAATCTCAGAGCAGTTATCTAGTATACTAAAAAGTTAAGGTTTCATGACTCTTACAGAAATGTGGCATAATGGGCAGAGATATGAATTGAATCTCTTCTCTTTGTAATTT